TTCTATTAATTTTTTAAGGATAGTCTTTAGAAATATATCACCGGAAAGAGCGTCTTCTAATCTTGAAATATCGATGAATCAGATTGCAGTATTTAAAACCATACGCTCCCGTTCCTGTTCAACCGAGGTCACTCAAAAAATCAATACATGAAATGCGCTGCTGCGACAGTGAAGATCTCGATAGTGTTGTCTTTTATCCCACAAGATTTTGCTTTTAAAAGAATCGTTGATTCAAATAAATATAGAAACTGAAAAGAGGAAAAGCTCCTCTTTCTTCTGATGTATCAAGTGTCTGTGTGTATGCATGATCACACGGTGTTTTAGGAGGGTAAAATTATGGGTTTTGGTCTCCGTGACAGCGTGCCACGGGGCGCACGACCAGTTTGCGGTACCTAATATATAAGTGCATAGTCAACTATATAATTTATATATGGATTTTAAAAATTGTTCTTGACTTGTCTGCATGCTTTCAGTGAGTAGATTTCACTGAGTAAAACAGTGTTACCGGTACTGGATATATTTCAATATCTTAAAAGCTTATACGTGGCACGACGGAGTGGAATCAGGCACACGTCAACTTTTTGGCATGTGGAGTTATTGATATCACCTGGAAGCTTATTCATTTGCTTTGCTTTCAATGAAAAAAATATCCATCTAGCTTGAATAGAAGTCGAGATATTTGCGATTGAAGAAGGTGGGGTAGCATTTTTCTGTGGTTAAATTAATGAGAAAATGACCGCCAAAGTTTGGCAACTTCAATAGCTTAAGAGTCCTTGAAAACTGAAAATAACATATTTTGTGCCTTCAAACAAGGGTTTTCAGTAAAGTTGACATGGAAATGTGTTTTCATACAAACATACAAGGTTTTAAGCCAACAAAGTTTCGATAAAAATTGCCAAACTTGTGGAAAAGTGCCTTTTTCTCTGATTTCATTATTTTGACGAGCGCCTGATTTCACCACGATATCTCACACATGGTAAAAAAAACAAGTATCACACTTATCTTTGAGCAGAATGTCTAATGTTTGTCCACACGCTATTCTTTTTTTTTCATGGTGCTTGACTATGTTTGTTGGTCCTTGCTGAATTGTTTATTCTTATGGTCATATTACGTTTACCTGTGCCTCCATAGGATATTGTTAATCGGGACAGCGAGGATGAGCAGTGGCAGACGATCAAAAGTCAGATCAGACTTGTTCATGTCAACACGACCACAGCCATCAAGGTAAAAGAACAAGTGCAATATGCATACTGATTAAACATACTGATTGATTGTAAATCATCGCCTTTTTGGTAAGACCGATAGAGTAAATTTTACAGGAGAAGCGAAAAACTTTTTTGAGTTTATCACGCAGTAACCTGGTGGCCGGCCTTATTTCTTATGTATTATGAGAATTTCTAGTCCTTGACTGAGCATATGAAATGGATAATTTACCATTGGTTGGTTGATATTTTGTAGGATAGCCAGTTTTATCATAAGGTCAAGGAAATGTTTTATGCCACCATTGTCATTATGTTCTTCTGTGACATTATGATTATTTCCTTCTTTTTCTTGTCCTCCTCTTCTCTATTACAAACACGCACACACACGCACACACTCTCACCCACACACACACACACACACACACACACACACACACACACACACTCTCACCCACATACACACACAAACACACAGACTCGCTCTCATACACACACACACACTGGCACTAAATATAAACAAATCCTTGTGAAGGGAGAGAGAGAGGGAGAGGGAGAGAGAGAGAGAGAGAGAGAGAGAGAGAGAGAGAGAGGATGGGAGAGAAAGAGGATGTTGAGAGGATATCAAAAGAGATCTCTTTCTGTTCGATGATTTCGTCAGACCACAGGGAAGCAACTGCCGGAGTGGGGGTTCAACCAGCTGGAGGTCTCGGCCGACCGTCTGGTCAAGCAGAAGGCAACTGTGTGGAATGTGGAGGAACACCGCTACACCAGAAGTAAGCTTTGTTCTCTAGATTTGACGGGACGATTGTCATCACAGTTGTATTGCACCGCTGTCTGTGGTGTAGCGGTTAAGCATGTAGCTGATGCAGACTGGAGACCTGAGGATGATTCCTGAGTTGGGAGTAATTTTTGTCGAGTGTCTCGAGTGTGTCGGTCTTTCTGCTGGGATTGTTGTATCCCTCTCAGTCCAGGTAGGCGCTGACAGGCAGGGCCTGAAGCCTGCCTTCTAAATGTTCTAAATTGTGTTGATGGCGTAAAAAAGACCTACATTAAAAAAAAAATCCAGTTATAACAATTGCGCGAGTCATTTGCTTTCTGGTTTCTGCTATTGGTACAGTTAAAACGCTTGTTACTTGTTTTGTACCCACAATACAGCAGGATGTATTTTTTTCGCGAACTGAAAATCAAATTATCAGGACATTTCATTTTTGGTCAAGTCATAGGGTTAACTTAATTTAGCGCTGGTTTTTTTTTTCTAGCTGTCTCTAAAACCAAAAAAAAAACGTTACTTAAACAGTTGTGTTGTGACCATGACATAATTATAGTTGTTTTGACAGTACATGAAAGATAATTTTCAATGCAGACTGCTTTGGCGCTTGTCTTGTCAAGGCTAATTCGGGCCTGGTATGACGTTATATCTCCGTTGAAAGTCAGAGGTGCGAGAGGGATATCTTTCTCATGTGAGAATCAAACTCACTTTTTGCACATTGTATACACAGAAGCTGAATTGTTTGAGGTAGTACAAAAGTAGACAAGATCATACTTCCCCCGAAGAAGTGCAATAATAATCACAATGTCTTTCATGAGAACACACTCGGGCAAAACAAATTATAGTAGAAACAAAACTGAAGTCACTAGAGATGGGGAAGAAAATCCTTGGATAAATTCAGGTGAAGGGTATAAAATGAGCACCTCCCCTCACATTTCTTGTTGCTGATGCTGCTGAAAAGAAAACCCTTACTCTACAAGAACAATTTTCATCAGTCCTGCCTTAGACGTTCACCTGTCTAAGACAACCACTTTTTTCTTCAACAATGGGGACAATTTCGACAGCACGTGTACAACACTTTCCAAATTTTCCTTGAACAGCAAGAAGTGCCAGTTGGCACCTGTGGTAAGTTATAAAATACACGCTGGAAAAGTGCTGATGAATTATTTTGATTAATTGTGAATGTTTTTTTTGTCCCACACTGACTCGGTTCAGATTATCTGATTATTTAGAAGATGGGTTACTTTGACTCTTTCTAAAATGTTTAGGGTCAAGATCAAAGCAGCCTTGCTGGTGAATGGTCAAAATTGTGTAAAAAGGGGCTTAAGAAAAACAAAAATCTGTCTCTTCTCAGGCTCGGAGAAAGAGCAGCAGGCAGCCGACCTGCAGCAAGCTGAGATGATTCCCATGAAGGCGACGTACATGTCCTTCTGGGCCAAGCTCTATGAGTTACAGGTGAGTGCCAGTGAGATGGGGTTCGCTTCCCTTCGTTGCTTTCTTCTTTGTAAGTTGGTGCATGAAACAAAGAATAAAGTAACTCATGAGTATGATTCTAGAACAGGAGATGCAATTTTCTCAAGAGATCAAGCCTCTATAAGAGTTTTTAATTTTGGGGTAAGATATGTCTGAATTCTTGTTTGACTTTGCAGTGGTCTTTACTGCTTCTCCAGGATGTGGAAATCTTACAGAGATTACTTTTTTCACTATGTTCTTGCTAATACTGTATACCAAAAGAGGTTGGATTTGTTTTGTTGTTGTTGTTTTAATTTCAGCTGAATGTAGCTGCTTTTTGTACAAATCGTTAATCAATTATACTACCCCTTCTGTTGTTAGCTCTTTTTTAAGGTTTCAAGGTGAACCACTCCATTTCAATGGTTATGCCTAGTTAAAACTCAAGTTTTATGGGGAGTTTTCAAGGCTCCCTGCATCTTTTGTTTAATTCCCTTTGGAAAGGTTGGTGATCATGTCACTGAAATAGCCTTTCTATGTTGGAAGCAGCATTTAACTCATATCTTAATGTTTATATCCCTTGCGGATTTATGTCTAACCAGAAATACTTTTTATATCTTCAGTGTAGGAAGTGGCATTAAACTCATATCATGCATAATGCTTGTGTCTATTACAGATTTATGTCTAACCAGAAATACTTTTAATTTCTTTGAAAAATTCTAAACAGAACTCTGCGATAAAGATATCTTGTTTGTGTTCCCAGTTCAAGATGCTATTCAGCACACAGGACGCTCGACTGGAGCACAAGTACAGCTCTCTACCTCAACAGTGGCCTTTTATGGCCAAGAATATCGCTTATTGGATGAGTCCCAAGGATAATGTGAGTACACAAGCATATATTATATACATGCTTAAACCCAGAGGGGTGTGCATACTCTAACACTCATGCATTTACACACAAGCACACCAATATACTCCTGCTCACACACATATATATATATTTGAGTTTGTAGTGTTGACACTTTGCAGCTACAACTACAACTGGTTACAGAAATCACCTTTTTTGGAGGGGTTTGGACTTCTTAAGGTGAGTAAAAGCAAAAACGCTTTCTCATATATATATATA